GTCCCTTGGTGTTTTGAGGATGACCTGAACGATCATCGGCTGTCTCCTCTGGGCCTTCAATGTGGCTTCCACACTTCGCCGTTTGGACTGATTGAGATGAACGCCGTTTCTCAATCAGTGGCGTCGCATCTCCAATCATGCGACGCAATTATTTGCAACGTTTTAATGGCACGGTACCATGTGGTGGTCAGTCGACAGCTGCTTGTATTTTTTTTAGTTTGTCGCCGCAAAACGCGACCCCGGTACAATATGCCGATCGATATTGGAGGGGAACAGAAACTCCGCGAAAACTCGAATTTGGCGTGGTAGGACCGTACGTATAAGAGGGGGGGGGGGGGGGGGGAGGAGGAGAGAGTTGGACTCACTGCACCAGCCCAGTGGGGACCCTGCGTAGAGGCGTGAAGGTTTATATGGGAAGGGAGTCTACAGCTGCTTGAAGTTCGAGTGAGCATTGTTCACTTTATGCATATTTTGTTTCAAGGCATCTTCGAGGCAAATGTCATCTGGCCCCCTCTCTTGCAGTTACCAGATCTTAGTTTGGACTCGAGGTCTGTGAGCGAACACATAACTGAAGGTAGATCGTTCATGACAGATACTCACATCCAATGAAGTGTTTAAGAAGCTCACGTGGCACGGAGTTGGAAGCTTTCCGAGCAGAAAACATCGCATGAGGCAACACAAGGCCTCTCCACACATACTACTGTACCAATTAATCAGATATATTGCTGCTTACAAAAGCCAAATAAATATTTAGGTAATACATTGTGGCAGTTTTCAATGTAATCGATTTCTTGGCCACAACATTCCATAGCGTTGTACTGCTAGCATGTACAATTTCTTGAGGAAAAGTGCAATCATCAGACTTCAGTATGGCAGAGATAAACTGTGCTTTTCAAGCCCAAAGGGATTGTACTAGTGTAATGACAGGGTGCCACCTGTCGGCCTGGAGGGGTAATCGCGGGTATGAGCAAGTTATATAATACTAACTAAAAGGAGGGGCATATCTGGGGAACCTGCTCGAAAGTTATGGAAGGGGGCATGGCCGGAGGCGGGGCTTGGCCACGCCGGGAGGTATATAAGGGGAATGGAACCAGAGGTGTGCGGCTGTTGCGGGTCCTGGGTCCTGGCTGCATCACTATTCACCATCATCTCTCTTCGTCGTCCGGCCGCGTGGCCGATCCTTGTCGTCGCCGCTACACTAGTCAGATAGCTGTGTAGTTAGACGCCGACAATGGGGTTGTGTAGAAGGGTCGGCTATGTGTAGCCATGTAGATACGTTCTGTATAACCCCCGGTGTTGTGCCCAGTGTGAGAATAAATAAAAAGCTCTCTACACGACGTGTCTCGGAAGTCGCTCACTACACTAGTCAGCATTGAAAGTATTTCTTATGAGATTTGTAAGTACCAGAGCAGCAAGCTTGGAAACGCTGGGAACAATCCCATTTACCTCTACAGTGCCACTGTGCTAGCGAGAGAATTAGAGAGGGGTTCTCATTAACTTCAACAGCAGAAAACTAAACGTTATATGTGAAAGTACAGGGTGGCTTAAAAGGGTATTCTATTGTTAGGAATATGACGCAAACCAATTTGTTAATGTTCCCTGGAACATTATAAATTGGAGATTTGAAATATATACTTAGAGGATAGTTTTAAACACTGAAAATTTGAAACTATGGCATTGTGCATTCTCTAATTATATTTCCTTTTTTGTGGAGTAGTTGCAGTGGAGTGCACGCGCTGCACGATGAACCCCGCGACTTGAATTTTGGCCACAACTCGCATCAATGGTGAGTTCAACTGACCCGGGGCCCACCTCCTTTCACAAACCAATACCAATCAGTGGGGTGAAGTACGGTTGAATAACCTCCACAACTAAAAAGGCATCAGATGTCCTTCATCCAACAGTGTATTGATAAAAGACTGGGATTATTTATTTCACACTATGTCACACAAACCACAGATATTTATAAATGCAAGTGGGGAGCAGCAGTAGAACAGTGGTTATTGAACCGGACGATATCACTGGTGAAGTATGGTAAAACAACCTCCATGATCGAAATAGCATGCTCAGACCCTCATCCAGCAGTGGCTTAACAAAGGGTTGTAAATCATTATTAATACTATTTTCGAAATTGTCACGTCAACGACACAAAGGCATAAATGCAAGTGGGGTGGAGCGGTGAGGCAGTGGTTATGGTCGCCCCCACCCTCCCTCCCACAAGCCCGAAAGGACTAAGAGGCCTTCATCCAGCAGTAGATTAACAAACGGCATTAAATTATTATTTGTATCACCTTGATTATTAAAAGCAGTTTTACGTTTAAAAGATGCATGCTTCATTTTGAAATGCTCCTTTACACACACAGTTTCAGTTTCATTTATTTTGTATAGCCCTGTGAGCCATTCGGCTCTTGAATCGGGTGCAACCACAAAAAAAAACATGAACAAGAAAACATCTTAAAGTGACTATGCGCAAACAGAAAAATCCAGGAAAAAAACTGCAAAGTCTTTCCGAAAAAAAAGCACCGTACACCAACGCTGTGCAAAAATCCCAGTGGGATGCAAGTCAAACAACAACAACAACCACAGGACAACTTAGATTAAAGCCATCATTCTAACTCCGCACTACAACAAACAAACATGGCCAAACCAAAAAACTTTTCGAAATCACCAAAATAAAGCCATAAGCAATGTAACAGTGATCATAGGAACTGTGACCGAAATTTCACAATAAACGACATAAATAACATGTACCACCAAACCCTGTAGCCATAGCTGGTTGCATGAGTCACTCCACAACAGCAGGAGCATCAGTAGGAGTATCAACATTTTTCAAATGCACGTTTAAAGATCAGCACACTAAATCAAAACACAAGATCATATGTTGCAGCGGTCATCCGGAACGAAAACATTTGATTTTAGGCCACTGAATAGCAGTGGCAGCTATGGGTGTACAACTCCTCTAGAGCAGTTTCTAGAGCACACACATATATATATGCGTATATACTATAAATGCCTCGGTTTGAGGTCGTTGCTTCCACTTGTCTATTGGTTTATTGAATGTGTACCGATCGACTGGGCGAAAAAAAGAGAGAGGAACGCCACCGTGGAACGAGAGATTCGCCGAGCTTCTCGTGGCCCTAAAGGGGGTCATTGTGTGACGTAACAGAGCCATTCGACTGAGAGGCGATGAGGGCTGATTCCTGCTCCATAATTGATGAGACAGCTCCTCCAGGTTTTTTTTTCATGTTGGATCTTTGATGGATAGCGTCCAGCATCAAGGAATGTTTGCTCGCACAGACTCCACGAATTAAGCTCATGTGACTCTTCTTGCCATCGGACAGGCAAAGCCATTTTACTGCACACACGTTCCCAAGAGGAAAGCGATTACACAGAAAGCCACTTGGACACGAGGTGGAATTAGAATTTAGTAAAACGGAATACCATAAATAGCTCGAGTTGGGCTTATATTAGGGTTTGAGCCATTATGTTGTTCAACGCATGCCAAAGGTCGTCAACCTTTAAACCAAGGGTCACAAGGGAACCGTCTGCTCAAATTAGCAGTGCCGTGCCGCTTTAGATTTTTCAACTAATTTGAGCATTTTTAGAAGAAAGAAAAATCAGCGAGCAGACATCTCGGAGCATGGGCACCCACACGCTTACAATATTATTTGCTGCCGTGTTGTCCTGGGTCAGGAAAAGCATTGCGGGAAGAACAGGCACAAACAGTTCATGAGTCATTATGCCCAGGGATGTCATCTTTTAAGAACACATTAAGTGGAGGGAAAAAAGGTAAACACATGGGAGTGAATTGTCTTACAATGTTTACTAGTAGAAAGCAAATGAATTCAGGGCATTTAGAGATGAATTATGTGACGCCTGCCATCCTGCTTCTATATGTTCTAAATGTATAGTAACATAATAATAGATGGTAATTATGGTTTTCCTTTATCAAGCATCTCCCAATGAAAGCCTCCTCATGCCATGTCACTTATCAAGGTTGCTGCCCATACTTCGCCATGCCGGGAATTTAATTCAGGTTGTTTGTTTTTTTGAGCAGTGCACTACCCACTGTGCCACCATTCCACCCCTCCTGACTCATATAGTGACATTTATGACTAGTTTTAGTTTTTATATATTTTTTTGTTATTTTGAACCCGGACCAAAATAACTGTTGTATTTACTAAATTCTGTCCCTGCCTGTCCTACACCAATTTCTCATAGCAGCTGACATGCAGCAAAATCAATCATCTTGCATTGGCCAAAAGTGAAGGCTACTGGCCCACATTCTGGGCTTGAAGTCCTGATTCAATACAACACGATTACGTGCGTGCGCTTGTGTCTCTTGAGACTAAATATTACATCTGTTGTTTATATATATGTAAAGTCAAGCATGCAAAGGGATTTATGGTTTACACGTGATATGAAGCGGTGTCCCATAAAATAACTGTTTTGGACATTTCCAAACATTTGTGAAAATGTGCTTGAAATTCCACATGTTTACAAAACATAGTGTGGCGCACACTAATTGGGTTTCACACCTAATGTACGCTTTATTTACTGAATTCAGAGAGATGAAACAGTGAACCAAATGTAAAGCGAACCTTACAAAACAAAAAAAAGCCACAGAGCAAAATTAAAATCCTTTTTCGAATACAGTACTAATATTCTTTCTCTTTAGTTGCACAATACAAATATGACTGTAAGAAAGTTATAATTTGAAGCAACAACAAACAACAAAAGTGTGGATGCCACGTGGAAAAGCTGTGATCCGCTGACCGTACACAAGAACGGCACTGTGCTGTGTGCAACAGCGCATAGACTAAAGCACATTTCTGTGAAGGAATGAATGTGGTGTGATTCCGAGTCTCATGAGTGATGGTCAGATGACCAGCAACCCCGTGCCAAGCCGAGGGGAGACTTTTTGCCGGCCCTCGGGTTTAATCTCTTCGTGACGCAACGTGTCTCCGAGCGCGCTTAACAAACTCATTCAGCCTCACAAACGGTGGGCACGATCAAAAAGAGACTTCACCGGAACGTGTTGTGGACGAGACGCGCACGTGTACAAGCATGGAAAACTCCGAAGCTAATAACGTCCTCGTCGAGGAGCAACGAGCGAGGCACACCACGAGCAGGCTGCTCATGCACAGCGTCATCATGTTTGGCCGGGAGTTCTGCTATGCGGTGGAAGCTGCGTTCGTGATGCCGGTGCTGCTCAGCGTGGGTCTCCCGCGGAGCCTGTACAGCGTCGTATGGTTCATCAGCCCCTTGCTGGGCTTCGTGCTGCAGCCGATCATCGGCTCAGCGAGCGATCACTGCCACTCAAGGTTCGGGCGCCGCAGGCCGTACATCGTGGCCTTGGCGGTGCTCATGCTAACGGGGATGACGCTCTTTCTCAACGGCGACTCCATCATTTCGGGTCAGTTTCACTGCGATGGCGGTGGCATTTGTTTGTGAGCACACATGTTTACCCAGGATAGCCTCACTGAGTCTCACCACTATTTTGAAGGTGTCCTGTTAAGTTTTCACAGTAGGGGGCCATTATTGCTGTGTATATTTTAATGGGGTAATTTGACGTCATATTATCTTTTCGTATCTATGTTGAGCTTCTTTCACACCTTACGTCGCCAACCTTGGTAATCGGAGGTGCGAGGGAAGGACAACAAACTAAACAAAAAGGAGTTCTAAAAAACTGAGTAGATTTAAAAGTGCATAGCTCCAGTGGCTTCCTTATATCGGAAGGAAGAGCATTCCAGACGGCTGCAGAAGCGCATCTGAAAGCTTGTGATGTAGTAATCGACTTTGTTCAATGGCTCGCCAAAAGCCACTGCGAAGATGACCAGGATTTGCCTGATGGTTGATGTTTCTTGACGAGACTAGCAAGGTACTTAAGGGGGACCCCATGACGAAAGCGTGGTCGTTGTGGGGAGCCAGGGCAAGGATCGGCTGCAAGGTGTCTCTCCCTCCTCGTCGCGGAGGGGTGTTGGATGGACCCCCGCTCCGGGCAGACCAATGGGAGAGCCAAGAGGATAGCCGAGGGTAGGGTCCCGAGTATTCAGTAAGGGTCGGTAAGGAGAGGGTTCCTCTCTCCTCGTCGCCGAAGTGGTGTTGGCTGAACCTTTGCTCCGGGCAGAAGAGTGAGAGAGTCCCAAAGGATAGCGGAGGGCAGGACCCAGATAGCATTCAGTGTCCGGGGTAAAGGACCAAGATAGAGAGCACTTATCCCTGGTGTGAACATATAGTGCTGAGTCTAACAGTGTTTAATAAACAGCAACAGCCCTTATAGTATTCCTCGTCTCCGCGTGGTTTTACCGCACAACATATGGTTAATACACCAATAGTATTAATCAGGATGACCGATGGATTCCAACCGTGCATCTCTGGAATAAGCCGCATGTGCGCTCATGCGAGGCCCATGTCACCACCATAATGTCAGAATGAACAACCAGAGTGAAAACTGGAAATTGTATTTTTAGCAGACATGTTAACATGGCACAATAAAAGAAAGAAATACTCGGTGATAATATGAAAGATATTGATATTTGAAATTTCAAGCTCAGAATTGCTATCCTGGTTAATATTAATCTTATTGCACATGAGTTGCGTTCGATGCACAACATGATATATATGTTGTGAAAATGACTGGAGAAGATTTATTGAAGCGGATTATGCTAGATTGGTAAGCAGGTTTGTGTCGGTGCTGTATTACATCCCATTGATTATGCATGCTGTAAAAGAAAAGGCAATATACAAAGATAATCAGAATGGGCTACATTATTCACAACTGGCAAAAGGAAATTGCAATAAAAAAACATAATTTTGATCCAAGGCCTGCACTGGGCCACTGGACAATGGGGAATTTGGCAAAGCCAGTTCTGGAGCTGGGCCACAAACATAGCCCACCGCAGGGGCGGTTTCTTCATTCGGGCGATTGGGCGACGCACCACCAATGTCATTCAACCACAGAGTTCCGCTAGCCGTTACTGTGCCTCTGGATATAGTCCAATCAGCGTCATGTCACGTTCTGTGGAGTACTGCCTCTTTTTGGGCGATTTCACTTTGGCTGAGAATCGCCCAGAGTGTTCCCATAGACTTACATTCAAAGATGTTTTTTTTCGAACGGCGGGCACTTCAATGCATTCTCTATGGCTTCCGGGAGGGCTCGCACTAACGTGCTTACGTCATCATACGTAAGCACGTTCTAGTCAACAATATTATTTGTCGCCACCTAGTGGAATCTTTAATAAAAAAAACTGAGTGGATTGTACTAATAGTGAGTATAGAAACAAACAAGATGTATTGTAAGAGTCACTTTATTTTTCATTAATATTAAAGAAGTGAAGTTGCCTTTACATGCTTAAGCTGTTAATTTATCCATTGTATGGGTGGACCTTATCCTTATCAATCATCCAGACATTTGCCCCCCCTGAGAGATTTTGCAGGAGCCGCCACTGGCCCACCGTATATGTAAACTGCAACCAGCTGGTGACTTATTTAAATTGGCAGAATGTGCAGTGGATAAACTACAAAACTGAGTAAGCATCCGGGTTGCCTGGTGGCTCAGTGGAACCCCGTTTGACTCCCTGACCCGCTTCTTCTCTGGAGTGGCTGACGGTTTTTTGAACGCATTGGGGCAGTGAGCTAATATTGACCCACGCATTCATACTAAGGCACCGTTGTGCAATCGCTCTTGTCTTCTCGCGGCAGAAATTTCCGAGAACAATAGCCCAACTTGGGCCATCGTGATCTGCATGTTTGGAGTGGTGCTGTTTGACTTCTCCGCTGACTTTATTGATGGCCCCATTAAAGCCTATCTATTTGATGTTTGCGCTCACGCTGACAAGGAGCGTGGATTGCAGATGCAGGCTCTGCTGACAGGTACCCACGTGGAATACAAACACTGTGTCACGAGATCCAATCGCAAATGGATTTTAATCTTTCCAAATTGACTAACCCTGTGAGGCGATGAAGTGTATATTTTTTTTTATCGAAAGATGTGTGAAAGTATTTTTTTCAATTATGTTTCAGTAAAAGCAATGCACTCACTGCATGTTGTATACATGTTTAACACGTAGGCTTTCGTGACCAGTATTATTCATAGTACGTGATTTATCCATAAGGAATTGTAACATGTATCGTGTATCTTACCTATAAATGTTATTTTTGTCTGTCTGTGTGTGTGTTCGCACTCTTGCGAAGGATTTGGCTCTCAAACGGTGGGTTTTTCGTAAACAATAACAGCAAGGTACCAAACCGTAAGCCCCGTGGCGAGCAAGCGCTATTCCTTTTTCCGTCCGTAAACTTTAAAGTAGCTAAACGAACGAGTTAGTGCGATTTCTATTTATTTATTCATTGATACTTAGTCACGCTCGACCATACCAACTCACACTGCCTTCGGTGGGGGGGGGGGGCTACCAAGTTACACGCGTTCGGCGGGGGTGAGGGGGACATTTTCTTTCGCGTTAAAAATGCAATAACAATACCCAAAACGCTGAGCTAAATTTTTCACAGTGTGATGTCCCCCCCACCCCGATGCGTGCAGTTACTACTATTCAGTCGGTAAATGCTACCACTATGGGCCGTAGACAGAGGCGTAGCTAGGGGTGGGCAGGGGGGTACATATGTCCCCGGGCGCCAAGGTAAAGGGGCGCAAAAACTGAGGCTTACAACGTTACATTATAACTTATTGCGGCGGGCGTGGCAGCCTGAAACTACTGCACTAATCTACACCTCAACCTAAAAGTTTATATATCCCGCCACACACAGCCTACATGTCATGTAATTACATTTTGGTATGTGATTAAACGGCGGGGGGGGGGGGCGCCAATTTTATAGTTCGTCCCTGGGCGCAAAATATCCTAGCTACGCCACTGGCCGTGTTTGTGTGTGTGTGTACGTCGATGTGTGTGTGTGTGTGTAAGTCCAAGTGTGTGTGTCAGTCCATGTGTGTGTGTCAGTCTGTGTGTCTGTGTGTGAGTCGCTGTGTGTGTAAGTCAATATGTCTGCCGTGTCAGTCGATGTGTGCGTGTGGCTCTATGTGCGTGTGTGAGTCGATGTGTGTTTGTGTGTCTATGTGTCAGTCGATGTGTGTGTGTACGTCGATGTGTGTGTGTGGGTCCATGGGTGTGTGTAAGTCAATGTGTGTGTGTGTACGTCGATGTGCGTGTGTAAATCCATTTGTATGTGTCAGTCCATGTGGGTGTGTCAGTCTATGTGTGCGTCGCTGTGTATGTGTAAGTCGATATGTCTGCATGTCAGTCGATTTGTGTGTGTGGCTCTATGTTCGTGTGTGAGTTGATGTGTGTTTGTGTGTCTATGTGTGTCAGTCGATGTGTGTATGTGTGAGTCCATGTGTGTGTGTGAGTCGATGTGTGTGTGTGAGTCGATGTGTGTGTGTGTAACTCCATGTGTGTGTATCTAAAGTCGGTGTATGCGTGAGTCGCTGTGTGTGTGTGTGCAAGTCGATGTGTGTGTGTGAGTCCATGTGTGTGTGTAAGTCGATGTGTGTATGTGTCGCTGTGTGTGTGTAAGTCGATATGTCTGCATGTCAGTCGATTTGTGTGTGTGGCTCTATGTTCGTGTGTGAGTCGATGTGTGTTTGTGTATCTATGTGTGTCAGTCGTTGTGTGTGTGTACGTCGATGTGTGTATGTGTGAGTCCATGTATGTGTGTGTTAGTCCATATGTGTGTGTAAGTCCATATGTGTGTGTGTAGGGCGTTGTGTGTGTGAGTCTATGTGTGTGTGTAAGTCCATGTTTGTGTGTGTCTTAGTCGATATGTGTATGTGTAAGTACATATGTGTGTGTAGGTCGATGTAAGTGTGAGTCTATGTATGTCTTTGTGCGAGTCGATGTGTGTGTGTGAGTTTCTGTATGTGTGTACGTCGATATATGTGTGTACCTCCATGTGTGTGTATCTAAAGTCGATGTCTGTGAGTCCATATGTGTGTGTGTGTAAGTCTATGTATTTGTGTGTGTGGGTCAATGTCTGTAAGTGTGTGTAAGTCGATGTGTGTGTCCGTCTTTTTCGCCCGGGCAACGCCGGGTACTTCCCGCTAGTTACTTAATAATACGCTTCCAGTCTGCGCTAAGCCTGGAGCTATCAAAGCGTATTATTAAGTAATACACAATACATATTACAATTCCTTATAGAGAAATCACATACTACTTAACTGATTACTAACCTCTTATATAATTACAATAACCCCCCACCTCCGCCTCTGATCTCGAATCCTGATGGTGTTCAACAATGATGACGTCCTCCTGCACTATTTAAGACCGGAGGCAGGTGGATGGCTTCACTATTCTGGCAAATCGCCCGAAGATGCTGGATATAATTACCAGCGAAACGTCGTACTCATATTGTAAATGTTGTGGATCCACTCTTCAACACACCAGTGGGTTGAAGAAGTAACTAATTGGCGTTTTGTTAACGTGACACATATCTTACTGATTGGCCGTGTCGGGTGGTGGAGGGTTGCGACACATTTATACTTACGCGATCTAACCCAAAAACCTTTATTATGAATCTATTAATGTTGTTTGTAAATAAAATTTTACAAATCATCATGAAATTTGACAAGCAGTACACAGAGTTTTTATGGCTTAGATGCCTTTAACTGATAAACACTATACATTTTACTTTTTTGTTTTTCAGAACATAATTCATACACAAGGTAAAGATGCACAGCATGTGAAGGATGCGGGAGTCAGTTTCTTGCTCACCCCACTGCTGGTGTAAGGGCCTCCACTAGAGGGAGCTCTAGAGAGACCCTCTAGAGGGTATTTAGCCTACTCTTCCACGCTGGACAGACATCATGAAACAGTTGGAATCCCCTACACTGTATGGACAAACCAAAGTGCCTCCATGCTTCAACCGTAATTGTTAGACAGCGGAAGGGAATTGATGTTAGTCACTTGCCCCCCCTCCCCAAAAAAACATGCTGCTGCAAATTCCCAAACATTTATAAATTGTGTTTCATCGTGCACTTTACAGATTGCGCGAAACGACCGTGCAATCCGAGTGCTTTTCAGCTGGCAGCATTTAGTGTTCATTGTCCGAAGCTTTGAATGCTCCATTTGAAATCACTGCCTCACTTCACCCTCCAGGACTTGGCGGAGCACTCGGGTACCTGACGGGCGCCATTGACTGGAAGATCACTTTCCTGGGCCCTGCCTTTGGCTCGGAGTACCACATCATCTACCTGTTTGTGGCCATCGTCTTGTCTTCAGGTGGTGGTCATGCACCTTGTCAGCATCCCCGAGATGCCCCTCTCCAGGGAGCAAAGGCGGCACGAAGAGCCGGCAAAAACGAACGGGGTCTATGAGCGAGTAGCCACACAGGCGGCAGGCTATGTTGTTTTGTACGGAAGCACAGACGACGTGGCCAACGGAGTGCCGTATCATGCCGACACGAGGTCCCTGACTCAGGACCCGCTGAGTAATGGTGTACTATCTAAGCCTCCTGTCGGAAACTTTAAACAGGTGAGTTGTTCCTCTGGTGGTAAATCCCAAAATTGTGCTTGTTTTGTATGTATGTTGAACTTCTTTCGCACCGTACATAGCCAACCGTGCTAATGGGAGGTGTGGGGGAAGGGCAACAAACTAAAGACAGCAGTTCTAAACAAATGAGTTTTAAATCTAGTTTTAAAAGTGCATAGCTCTAGTGGCTTCCTAATATAGGAAGGAAGAGCGTTCCAGACAGCCACAGAAGCGCATATTAAAGCACGCAATGTGATGACCGTCTTTCTTTGATGGTTACGCAAAAAGCCGCTACGAGGATGACCGGAGTTTGCGTTATGGCCATTGACGAGATGAGCAAAATATTGTGGTTCATTTCTGGCAAGCACTTTTTGTATAATGAGTGTGACCTTAAATAAAGAAATATGAATTGCTTCATAGAGATCAGTTGTTTTTTAATAAGAAGTATGAGGGGCTTTCTTTCACGTAACTGTGATGACAAAATTACACTTAAGATACTGATTTATATGCAATTTATATAATAGCATATACGTAAACTATATTGGCAAATAAGGGACTAAACCTGACTGAGACGACATCTACTGAGAGGTGGCGGCGGCTTGGGAAGGCCTTCATCCAGCAGTGGATTGAGCATGGCTGATGATCTCTATAATTTGTAGATTCTTTCATCTGCACGGTATAGATTAACTGCACAAACGTGACACGGGTTCGGAGTGGAATTAACTGCCATGTGAGGATCATTCTCCTAAAACATCAGCTGATTAACGTGGATGATTTTTCAAATGTCAAAATAAATAAGCAGCCAATGTGTCTCCTTCTGATATTCGTCTGTCCATGTAAAAAAACAATTCTCACACAACCCATCAGTCGCACAGCCCTGTGGTAGTGCGTAAATTCAGCAGCATTGTTTCAAGACGAGCAAACTGTGGACCGATGTCGACGTGTCCGGTTTCTCATCAGCAGAGGCAGGCTTGCTGTAATTCCAGTTTGACGCAAAATTATGGAACGCAGCTCAAAAAAGTTATCGGGCAGAATATAAAATGTCACCTAATTGTATTTAACTACATCTACTTTATTATTAATTGTGCTTGTGACCCCAGAAAGGCCTCACTGAGCCTCCTGGCTGTTTTTTTTAGGAAAGCTCCTGCCAATATTGGCGTGTAAATTGCAATGTGAACCATTACAAGGGGCACACAATGGCCTGCTCCAGTGAATGATGTCATGGGATGTTTAATGTCCACTGTGAAGAAGATGGCGCATATTTTTACGGATATTTAGTATGGCTATACACCCACAGTATAAATCAAGGCAGCTGCTGGATTCGAACCTTGAGCCTGCGAATGAATTACCTTTAGGCCGTGTTATCGTCGGATGACATAAAATGCCTTTTAATGAGATGCTAATAGTGTTCTGTAACTGGATTCAGTTTTGGTGCTGCTTAAACTGAGACTGTATAATAGCAGGATCGTATCCTGTCGGCACTATGCAATGTAAATTGATGCTTTTTTGAATGAGGGCTGTATGGTACAAAAGGAATCTATTTTTTTCCGTTTTACTGAATACAGCGTTAAAATAAATCCATGGGGGAGAAATAGGCAGGATGGGGAAGGCATGCAGAAAAAAATGTGTATTACATGTACCACAATGTTTGGTACATATTTTCATCATATGTGACAGGATAAAAACAGTCCACAAACCTACACAATGGTATTTGGCATATGGCAGGAATTGCAGAAACTTTCAGCGCATTAAAACGAATTAAAAACTTTAACGACATCGTTATCACCAGCAGCAGCAACAGTAGCAGCCATGGCCTATCTATCCACTGCTGGATGAAGGCCTCCACACACCATTGCTGCCATGGTCCTGTGATGCCAATGAATAATCGCACCTTTGTACATTAATCTATCTTTGCTCCATGTAGGATGCTTATACGACGCTTTAAATATTTATGAGAATTTTTATACACTTTTTAATATGCTTGTAATATATAAAGCGCAGAGTCAGCTGATGCAGCCCACTCGATTTCCGAGTTCAATATTTGAAGAAACTCGAAGCTGTTTGAGCAAAAAAACGTCACCGTATGTCGATTTTAAAATCAGTCACGAAAGTATTAAGCCAACGGTGAGGATACATTTTTTGTTCAGAATTTGACCAAGACATTGCCGCGTGTAAATACTACCTTTGTAAATACGACAATCTTGTCGGCTGATGGAGGGGTTAATGACTAATTCTGGCATGATAGAACTACGTGGCCCAACCCAAGGACAGTTAAGGATCAACCAATTGTGTGTTCGCAACTGTGCACCCGGTGAGCTATATCACAATAAAAATCACTGAGCAAGTTGATTGAAAGTAGAGTCTGCCTTTAATGTGAGCAACAGGTTGTGCAACCAACCGCTCACAACTGGCAACAGAGGCATCCGCGTAGAAGCGTTGCAGTTGTATGCAACCAAGTTGTGCCACAAGTCGCTGAATATGGATGTGCCTTGAGAGATAACACCACTTTTTTAAAAACTCAGAACAAATGCAGATGGCATGCTGTGAATTTAGTGAATATCTTTGTGATTTACCTTATTTCAATGACAACGTTCCCTACAGTCGTATGCATCTGTAGTGGCGTAACACGTGCAGGGTTTGCAAATAGTTGCATTATGTACGGGGTTGCAGACAGTGAGGTCAGCTAAGGATAAGCAGGTGCAGGCGCGTGGCCTGTGTGACAACAGACAGAGATGCCAGCAATTAGGGAAAGAGGCAGTGATTGGCTGGCTGCAAATGCAAACGCGGAGTAGGCGCCACAGAGTCGAGAGATAGTGGCGATCAGGGGGAGAACACGTGCGAGACGAGTCGGGAAGATGCCGGCTTAATGAGGGCCATCTGAGGGCACTTAATGAGGAGATGGATAAAAGGGGAACGTGTGAGGCAGAGGAGTTGAGTTGGTTGGAGTGAAGACACGAGTGACTTCAAGAGAAGTCCCGGGACCCCGCTCGCCACACCTCGTCCTCTCCAGCAGTGTTGGCTGATCCCCCACTGGAGGCACGGGCGAGGTTGGAGGGGTGAGGGTAGACAGGCTAGCAGTAGAGAGGCTATCGGAATCTTAAGTGTGGGTGTGAGAAGGCTAGCAGCAGAGAAGCTAGAGTGTAAAGTGAGAGGCTAGCAGTGGAGAAGCTGGCAGAGTGCAACATAGCAGGCTAGCGGAGCGAAAGAGAGTTTATCTTGGTTCTTTTGGTAAAGTCACGTAGAAGGGAAGTAATAAAATAATACAAATAAAACAATAAAATAATTCTCACCTAAATAAAAAGATATTGCCGCAAACTTATTTAGGTGAGAATTATTTTGTGTTTTATTTTTATTATTTTATTACTTCCCTTCTACATGACTTTACCGAAAGAACCAAGAAGATGAATCCCTGCAGTCACGAAAGCTTTAAATCAAAATTAAAAAACGAAAGAGAGTTGATTGGAACGTAGCAGACGAGCAGTTCAACAGGAACAGTTGAGACGGAGATGTGTGGGTGTTGAACGCGAGGAGTTCTGTACAAAAAAGTGACAGGAGAAAAAGAAGTTGTCCGTGTGAAATAATACCACTACACATCCAAAGAAGGAGAGCTCATTACAGGATAATTCTCCCCTTACAGGATGTACTACTGTGGGCTGCATTTCACTCTCAATTAATATGCCATTAGACAGGGCATAACTCATGTGTCTTTGTTCTCATACCATTGAGATAGTGGGAGCTCTGTCTTTCATTACACTCTTTCACGGTCATTATCCGTGCATATTTGAGTAAAGAATGAGATGCAGTATTTTCAAACGCAGTTCAGGACCTTCATGGTAAATGCGATATCAATGCAATGCTTTTGTGCCGCATGCATTAGAATTGCCATACATATATTACGTGCCTTGTTTAAATGTTTGTCTGAACACACACGCATGCACACACACAAACACGTGAATGTCACGCACATACGCTCACACATGCACGCACGTGTGCACACGTGCGCGCATGCACACAAACACAAGCAGCTGCCACAACGCCGGATGAGCCTCCGGAGACTCCTGAGTGCCCTCGCCAGCATGCCGTGGACACTGCGGCGCCTGTGCATCAGTCACCTCCTGGGATGGATGGCCTTTCTCTCCATCATGCTTTTCTTCACTGACTACATGGGCCAGGTACTACTCGGCCATAAAAACAACATGCCTTCTTGTCTCGTTCGCCATTTGTCTGTCTGCCTATTCACCCATCTGTCTGGTATGCCGCGGTGGAAAGATGTTAACTCCCTCACCAGGTATGCAGGAGGTTCGATCCCGACCCTGACATCTGTATATTTGGAGTTTGCACATTCTGCCCTTGATTGCGTGGATTTTTCTCCAGGTCCTCCGGTTTTTCCCTCCATATTTAGAATCGTGTGCGTTTAAGAGTATTTGGCTGCGATAAATTTCCACATGATAAGCCCACTTCGTTGAGCTATCATTTGTGGCCAGATCGCTTCTGAAAAAGAGCTACGTAGCTCAGTGAGCCTTACCTGGTAAAATAAAAAAAATAGTTTAGGTAGTTTTAGTTTACATTCATTAACAAGGTAGCCAGATGGAATGACCTCAGTACTGTATTTTCTCCCACAACATACAGTGAGGAAGAAAAGTATTTGATCCCCTGCTGATTTTGTACGTTTGCCCACTGACAAAGAAATGATCAGTCTATAATTTTAATGGTAGGTTTATTTGAATAGTGAGAGACAGAATAACAACAAAACAATCCAGAAAAACGCATGTCAAAAATGTTATAAATTGATTTGCATTTTAATGAGGGAAATAAGTATTTGGCCCCTCTGCAAAACATGACTTAGTACTTGGGGGCAAAACCTTTGTTGGCAATCACAGAGGTCAGACGTTTCTTGTAGTTGGCCACCAGGTTTGCACACATCTCAGGAGGGATTTTGTCCCACTCCTCTTTACAGATCTTCTCCAAGTCATTAAGGTTTCGAGGCTGACGTTTGGTAACTCGAACCTTCAGCTCCCTCCACAGATTTTCTATGGGATTAAGGTCGAGAGACTGGCTAGGCCACTCCAGGACCTTAATGTGCTTCTTCTTGAGCCACTCCTTTGTTGCCTTGGCCGTGTGTTTTGGGTCATTGTCATACTGGAATACCCATCCACGACCCATTTTCAATGCCCTGGCTGAGGGAAGGAGGTTCTCACCCAAGATTTGACGGTACATGGCCCTGTCCATCGTCCCTTTGATGCGGTGAAGTTATCCTGTCCCCTTAACAGAAAAACACCCCCAAAGCATAATGTTTCCACCTCCATGTTTGACGGCGGGGGTTGGTGTTCTTGGGTCATAGGCAGCATTCCTCCTCCAAACACGGCGAGTTTAGTTGATGCCAAAGAGCTCCATTTTGGTCTCATCTGACCACAACACTTTCACCCAGTTGTCCTCTGAATCATTCAGATGTTCATTGGCAAACTTCAGACAGGCATGTATATGTGCTTTCTTGAGCAGGGCGACCTTGCGGGCGCTGCAGGATTTCAGTCCTTCACAGCGTAGTGTGTTACCAACTATTTTCTTGGTGACTATGGTCCCAGTGCCTTGAGATCATTGACAAGATCCTCCCGTGTAGTTCTGGGCTGATTCCTCACCGTTCTCATGATCATTGCAACTCCGCGAGGTGAGATCTTGCATGGAGCCCCAGGCCGAGGGAGATTGACAGTTCTTTTGTGTTCCATTTGCGAATAATCGCACCAACTGTTGTCACCTTCTCACCAAACTGCTTATTTCCCTCATTAAATGCAAATCAATTTATAACATTTTTGACATGCGTTTTTCTAGATTTTGTTGTTGTTATTCTGTCTCTCACTGTTCAAATAAACCTACCATTAAAATTATAGACTGATAATTTCTTTGTCAGTGGGCAAACGTACAAAATTAGCAGGGGATCAAATACTTTTTCCCCTCACTGTACACTTAGGCTCTATGATAAGTTGCTTCAGTTTGGTAGTTGGACCCTTCGGCATTTACATCTAATTGTAAGCATCTTAAACACTGTCTGATGGGGGTTAGGCAACTTATAATGACCAAAATTTTAGAAATACACGATATTTTTAGTTTTTTATTAAAATTTTTACATAATAATCTTTAGGAGTATTAGGATTTACTTGCGTGTATTTAGCGTGTGCACACACGGACTTTCTGTTTGACACATCTCGCACTAATCATTTGTCACAAGCCACCGCTGTGTCATGGTGTCGCACGCCAGAATCTCCCCCTTTTTTGTGATATACTTCCAGTAAATATGGATCATTGTTAGCTGTAGCATAAATTTAGAACACATTTTTTTCAGACTCTCTTTATTCTCTATGCTTATGACTAACTGCCTTTGTCCGCAGGATAAATACGTGCACGTTTTCTCTGCATCATCTTTAGATACTGGTCGCATTTAGATGTGGTGTAAATCCACTGTTGCATTGTATTGTAGCTGTACATCAACAGAGTGCGTAGACAAATGCTTTGGCCAGCCGTGTTGTGGCGTTTTCAGAGCCATGAATACCCAAGGTAGCACATTCGCGAGATATCAGCTACCCAGAGACGAACAGTGATGAATGTAAGAATATTGGAATAAATCTATGAATAGACACTCGTATTTGTCAACCCCTTAATATATATAATCTGAGCAGCTATATCCTTGAAAGAAAACAAAATTAGCAAATATTAATGTAGTCTAAGCTGTTTAAATAAATACCATTGATCATTTTCATATATTTACAGTAAGCTTTTGGTCAAATATATTTGCTCAATGTACAATTCAACAATTTAATGTTGGCCTAGAGCAGTGGCGGCTCCTGCAAAATCTCTCAGGGGGGGGCAAATGTCTGGATGATTGATAAGGATAAGGTCCACCCATGTAATGGATAAATTAACAGCTTAAGCATGTAAAGGCAACTTCACTTCTTTAATATTAATGAAAAATAAAGTGACTCTTACAATACATCTTGTTTGTTTCTATACTCACTATTAATACAATCCACTCAAGTTTCTTTTATTAAAGATTCCACTAGGTGGCGACAAATTATATTGTTGAATGAAACGTGCTTACGTATGATGACGTAAGCACGTTAGGGCGAGCCCTCCCGGAAGCCATAGAGAATGCATTGGAGCGCCCGCCGTTCGAAAAAAAACATCTTTGAATGTAAGTCTATGGGGCCACTCGGGGCGATTCTCAGCCGGAGTGAAATCGCCCAAAAAGAGGCGGTACTCCACAGAACGTGACATGACGCTGATTGGACTATATCCAGAGGCACAGTGACGGCTAGCGTGACTGTGGTTGAATGACATTGGTGGTGCGTCGCCCAATTGCCCTAATGAAGAAACCGCCCCTGGCCTAGAGACAGCTAAAATATTGACATTGTTTTACATTAAAGTGATTTATTAGTCAAATGAACATTAAGGTAGTGCTTATCTCCTGTCTAGAGCCCTGAGCCAGCAGTGCAAAGTCCTCTTTTCTTTGTGGAGTCTCTCCATAGGATAACCACTGTTGACCTCCCCACAAAGTGGTACTAATTTTATCTACCGCAGGAAGGATGATGGGCTGAGTCAACCCTCAATCAGGATTTTAATTTGCGATATTTCGATTGCGAGCCGCTCACTCTTATGGGTGCCACCGTGGTGAGATGTTAAATAACTCGCCTGGTATACGGGAGGTTGTGGGTTGGATCCCAACCATCATGCCTGTATATTTGGAGTTTGCATGTTCTCTCTGTGGTCGCGTGGATTTTTCTCAGGGTCGTCTGGCTTTCCCCTCCACATTTCGAAATGTGCGTTTAGAGTATTTGTCTGCTATACATTTCCAAATGATAAGCCACTTCGTTGAGCTATCATTTGTGTCCAGGCCGCTTCTGAAAAAGAGCTACATACTGTAGCTCAGTGGGCCTTAACCTGGCAAAATAAAAAAAATATTCTATAGTTCAGTTTCGGTTATTTGTTTAGTGCCAAAGTGAGCAGTGATGGGGAGCAGCAGAAGTACATGTGGGCATACATACTAATCACCTCCTTGAGACATAAGCTCATCTGAACAGAAAATAATAATGGGAAAAGAGATCATGATTCATGTGCTCACAAAGTCAGTGGAACCTGATAAAAATGAACGTGAAATGAGGATGAATTAAGATTATAATTAATGAGGGCTTTCATTCGGCAGGCATTTAAGTAATATATCACAAAGGCTCACACATCTGTTGCCGCGCTTGAATCACAGTCATATAAAATACATCCTTTACAGTTTGTGGTTATTCTATTTATCTAATAAGCATTAAATACATTTCTCTTTTCTACTAAAGTGTAAGCAAGATTACATAACATTAAATGTGGCTCATTGTGTCATTGAACAGTTTTAATACTATATTAAAAAAAAGGTTTGCTGGCTGGATTTCTGGCTGCCTAGCTCGATTCCTGTTTGGCTGACAAGCAGGTGCGCACGTGGTGATGTCACCGCACATGTTCGGGTAAAGGCGTCACCCACATCCCACGGCTTTGAGTCTGGTTCATGCGTCGCGGCAATATCACACCTCTCCCCCTCACCCCCTATTCCGGATGTGTATCACACTCAAGTGCAATAGAGGAGAGAGAAACAGGGGAGACGAGAGGAACAGAGTGGAGAGGGGCGTGAAGAGAGTGAAATGGGGCGTGAAATGGAGAGGAAAGAAAGCGAGCAAAACGGAAAGAGGACAGCGACAACCAATGGCAGGCAGGATTAGGAAGAGTCAAGATAGATTGAGATGGGAAAGGGGGAGATGGGAAGAAGGGGATCAAGGGTGAGAGGTGAGAGAGAAACAGGTGGGAGATATGGGGGGAGGGAATTGGGTGAGGTAGATGAGAGCGAGGGGAGGAATGTAGAGGGGGGTGAGTGGTAGAAGAGGAAACAGAGGAATTGAGAAACAGAAAAATACAAAATGAGAAATCAAGATGAACTAGAATATACATTACAGAGAAGGAAAGAGAAGGTCGAGACAGGACTCTGCAATATAAAAGTGTTGTTGTCTGGCTAGCTGGAACGGATGGATCGTCACATTCAAAGGATGCTAGTCTATCACAAAATGAATTCAAGACAGTAGCAATATCAGAAATGCTAAATTAATTTCAAAGTACACACATTCATTCCTTATGCCATCTAGATTAACTGCAAATCAACCGTTGCTTCATTTGTTGTTGGTGTATATTTTTCTTCCCTTCCCCCGCCGCCCCCCTAATGACCAACGTCATTGGGATTTTGTGCCACAGATTGTCTATAAAGGAGATCCATATGCCAAGCATACCTCCTCCGAGTACAGGCTGTACGAGGAAGGGGTTGAGATTGGGTGCTGGGGGATGTGCATCAACGCACTGTCATCTGCCATCTACTCGTGTGAGCGCCAGCTACGCACGCTTATCACCATTATTATTGCCGCATAAAATAACGATCGCTGCTGAAGTTGACCACGCAAATATTCCAACATGTTTGTTGGAGCAATTGCTGTTTGTTAATGACTGTAAACATTAAGTGTGAATCAATACAGCTGTGTTGGATACCTTTCTAAAAAAAGAAAACAACTTTAAAGTAAAACAATCATTGCGTACAGTGATTTTTTTTGCAAAGCTTGGTTATCTAAAAAAATAAAGATGTACTGTAATTGCAACAATTATGAAACATTCTTTTGGGTCTTTCGGTAAAGCCACGTAGATAGAAAAAAAAATATCACGACGTTTCGATCGCAACACAAGCAATCGTCATCAGGTGGCTTCATCGAAAGACCCAAAGATTATGTTCCTGAGGTCACGAAAGCTTTAAGTAAAGATTTAATTATGACACAATTACAACATTTAATCGCTGTCAATATTGTGCTCCTAATTCTTTGGATTCTATCGCAATTATGAATTATGGTTCCATCATTTTTGTGAAGGGTAACCAACTGTGAATTGCCAATCATCAACCGTAGTCTTTTTATGATTTCGTGCCTCCAATGCTTGCTGTGACATCTTCATTCGTTTTTGTCGCATGTTTTCAGCCGTCTCTTCTCATGCTTTCCACCATGTCTGTTACTTAGTTCTGTGGATGAATATCATGCAAGTCTATTTTGCAAAAACAACAACAAAGTATCCCACAGTTTTTCACATGCGGCAAACTTGTTTTTGTGACTCAATGTTGACGGAAATAAAACACGTAGAAAGGTACTTAGATCGTTCGTGATGAAACCGACTCAAAAAACCATACATCCACGAATATGAATACCGTAGATTGCATGAACATTTGAAAGAGCAACAACAAACACCAATGCAGAGGTTAGCAATCCGCATGAAAAGGCCAACCACATGTCAGCTGACCTTCACTAGATTCTATAAAGGAAGAATTTGCACAAATGACCAACATGTACAGCTTTTGTAGACTGTGAAAAATGCATTTGGCTTGTGGTGCAAATCGATGCAGTGATCCAAGGGCTTCACAAGCCAAGGCCTAACTGAAATAATTTAGAAGTTATAAAACCCATTTACAAAAAATGGAACAGCTACACAGAGTTTGCATAAAGAAAGTAACACCATACATGAACCACAATACCTTGTGGATCTTGTCAAGGAGCATAAACCATGACGCGAACTCCGGTTATCCTCAGAACGACTTATAGCGAGACATCGCACAAAGATGGTCACTGCATCGTGTACTTTCAGATGGGGTTCTGCAGCAGTCTGGAACGTTCCACCTTCCAATATTAAGTATATTGTCCTTTCCCCGCACCTCTGATTAGCGCGGTTGACTACGTATGGTGCGAAAGAAGTTCAAAATACATACAGGCGAATAGAGACATTCCCTCTGTAGTTATTCACAGTGAAGTTAGAAATGTTTACAAATAAATACTTGGTAAAATAAAGGTATACACAAAAATGGGGAAAATATTCACCATTTAGGATTGAAGGTAGCCAGGGATAAAAAAAATGATGAGAGGAACAGGAGGTTTGAGTGCTTTTGAAAAAGTGGAATTTAAACATGAAAAGCAGCACGCCAACGTTCTAACGAGACCATAGTACCTGCGATGACGTATGGATTGAAATCATGGACACCGACAAAGAAAATGGAAGAAAATAGAAAATTGCACATGGAAATAGTAGAGATGCATGCTTGGCATTCCACTGTGTGACAGGCAAAAGGAATGCATGGATCAGGGGGAAGAAATCGAATTGTGGAGAAATATTTTCTAGATTTGGGCAGGACAAATCACTCAAAGGAAGGATGGTTAACGGATGAGACTGGCGACATAAATACAACAAATGATCGACAACTCACCAAGAAAACAACTTCTGTTGAGATTAAGTGATGATATCAGCTCATGTGGAGAAGTGAGATGAACTGTGGAAGTATAAGATCGTGTGGGATGGCGATGGCATTAGGATACCTTCATCCAACAGTGGATAGCTCATGGCTGATGATGACGAACGTTCGTAATGATGAATTTGTAAAAAATAATTCTGAATTAGCGAGTGAATCGCACTTAATATTCACTATTTTCTGTATACAAATGCCACAATGTGGCACTATTCACTTGATTGCTTTCATTGAAATACATTTAACTCATTTAAAAGTTTGATTTGATGTAAAATGGCAATTAATAGAACAATTGCAGTTCTTTTTATGTTATTTACAAAGCAATTTTCCTCTACATCACCTTGAGATAGGGGTCGCATTTTGATGCTGTGCAGATCCACTCCTGTTGTTTTTCTTTAATTGGCCAATTAGGAAAATTATTCATATGGTGATAAGCTGTAAATATTTAAGCTCAGGAAAATTTTAACTGACAATTCCATAATTGCAGATCACAAACTTTCTAAAAAGAGCCTTATTTTTTTAAATGTTACATGTGATTTTATTGCACATAAACACTACAATGCATGCATTGCTTAACTGTTAGTGGCTGAATAAAAAATCAACTGCAGGACCCCTCGTAAATGCCAGTAACGTTCGTGCATATCATAACAAATCCAAAAATCCATGTATAATGATATGTCCTTGGTAGCATGATACAATGGAAGTGAAGGTTTCCTGACAAAAGAACATGAATGACTTCCAATGTTTATATCTAGACCTTATTGGATGCATGCGGTCCGTAGGCAGTAATTGGCTTTCAGGGTGTCGGTGGAATGAAACAGCTTTGGGTATGAGCAGTAGGGGCCTTTCACTGAGGGCACTGGAGCAGAACACACAGTGATGACACCGCAGAGTGTCAGGTCGCTGTGTTCCATTGAGCGGGCGAGCTCACAGCGTGACGCCGGGGAGAGTGGTTGTAGCATAACAGCAAGTTTCTGAAACCAGCTCAGCTTCTTAAAAGCTCTACAATTGTGGAGTGGAAGATATTTTTAGCGAATTAGTTGTTTTTATATATAAAACCAAAAGACAGCCTCAATGTGCAGTGTAATGCCAAAACTTAGATTTTATTTTTTAATGCTACGATATCACTTTGAAAAAAATTATTACATTAAAAAATAACCACTTGCTTGTTATTATGGAAGGTTTTTTTTGCAAGTGATGCGACGAAGACGGAAGGCATTTACTTTCTTTAGAGAAGGCACTAAAATTTCAAACATTTAACCAGCGCACACAGCAAGAACTCGATAAAAGCTCAGCACTTACAATAAAACAGAGGGCTTCATGAAAATAAAGTGACTCTGCACACAACTGACAGTAAACAATGGAGCGAGGAATACCGTGCAACTGTGAAACCATGCTTAAATGTTGTTGGGGGTATTTGGCATTTAATGCTAACACTCATGAATTAATATTCTTGTGCCACAGATTGCCAGAAGTGGTTAACCCCGGTGCTGGGTCTGCGAGCCATGTACTTTTTGGGATATTTTGCTTTCGGTGTTGGCACTGGTCTGATAGCCATCATTCCCAACATCTACTCCACGCTGGCACTGTGCACGGTGTTCGGGATCATGTCCAGCACGTTATACACCGTGCCCTACAGCCTCGTTGCAGAATATCATCTGGAGGAAGAGGTAAGTCGCTAGAACCTCACCTCCCAGTAGCACGATTGCATGCAGATATGAATTTAATATTTTTTTCTAAATACATATATAATTTTATACTTATATTCTTGGGGTCTTTCGGTATATATATATTTATGTTCCCTTGAATCACAAAGAATGTACAGGATAGAGTAAAACACAAACATGCAGTGCTAACCTGGACCTTTAACACAATTAGGATATAGATTGATTGAATGCTATAATCGACATAAATATTTGCAAGTATCTGGGAGCGGACTTTTTCCCACTTTCTTTTGGCTGCAGCATCATACTGTAGAGGCACATTATTTGGTTTACCAATAATGACAAACATATTTGAAGTGTTTAGCATGAACATTTAAACAATGTTTCACTTAATACTGATCTATGCGTATAACCAACTATACACTAGCCCATCATAAAACAATAAAATCTGAATTGGTATAAGCTTTCCAGCCCTTCTAGAACATTAGAATTTGGTTAAATCGGTCAGTGAGTAACGATAATCTATGAATTTAAGTAGTCCATATAAAGAACAAACAGAGCTGTAGCTCGGAATATCCCCGTGCCCCCCCTCCACCCACCAATAATGTGAGCAACCTGCAGTAACTGCCGGCTCCGTTTCTAACGATTCCGCTACAGATTGGGGTGGCGCCTCCCTTGCTACGGCGCTGGGAACTGATGGAGACTTCAGTTCAATATTTCCCATTAAATACGACATGGAAAACATATACAAAGGCTGTTCATAACATTTTCAAAGATGCCCAATTATGTATATGAATATGGGCAAGCAGCGTGAATTGAAGGCAGACAAATTAAATATTCTGACTTGTCCAACGGCGAAAGAGCCTATGTTACAGCATCGGATGCATGACTAAATTCATTAGCAATGCATTTGGTAATATTGCTTCATTACAGGGTTTGGAAATATACATACCATCAGGCCCGCACATTCCATTATTAAAAATCTGAAAACGTGGTATGAGGATTGATAAACACGGCCCCACTGCAACGGATGGTCAGGATTTGGAAGAAATTACAGATCAGTATCATAACTGCCTGCATGTGAGAGATAGCGCCATGGTGCCGAGATGTTGACTACCTCGCCTGGTATGCAGGACGTCGTGGGTTCGATCCTGACCTTGACACCTGCTCCTGTATATTTGGAGTTTGCGTGTCTCTCTTCCCGTAGTCGCATGGATTTTTCTCTGGGTCCTCCGGTTTTCCCCTCCATATTTAGAAACACGCGTTTGGTGTATTTGGCTGCTATAAAAATGTCCACACAATAAGACACTCCGTTGAGCTCTCATTTGTGGTCAGGTTGCTTCTGAAAAATAGCTTTATAGTAGCTCAGTGGACCTTACCTGGTAAAATAAAACGTAGTTAGCAGCTTGGATACGACAGGAGACCTATTCTTAAGAGGAGATACTTGAAGATGGAGCACCATTATTATTACGAAAATATGAATACTAGAAGCACGTTGTTTGTGAGCAGATGGTTAGTGTGCGTAATTATGTTATTGCGTTTTTGCAAAGACCACATCAACCTAAATGCATCTAATATCGGACATTGGAGTCGTACGTATGTTGAACTTCTTTTGCACCGTATCTAACCAACTGTGCAAATTGGAGGTGTGTTGTGCTAATCAGAGGTGCGGTGCTCATCGAAAGGTGGAGTTGATCACCGTGGCTTTGCCAGGCCTTGGGACTTTGAGATGGCCAAGAGATGGCAGTGCAGATTGTTTCCCCCTCTTGTTGGTTTACTTCCACATGGCTAAAATCATTAGCAATCCACAAGAAGCCAAGGTGCGCATTCATGGTATTAGGCCAACCATCGCAATACAGGTCCCTCCGAAAAAAAATAGACACTCAGTGAGGCTTCCCTGGGTACATATTTGGAATTATTATGACGAAGATGCTACAATAAAAAAAAACTGAATGATTTTACTGAAGCGTTCATGAATTGCAGTTAAAGTGTGAGTTTTTACTCTTGGAGATCAGTTGGTTCTGCCAGTGTTTTCAACAGCGGCCTGGCTCGATGTTGGAATAGTGTCCCAGACAATATGATCATCAACATTCTACACCATAGGGCGCGTTGCATTTCCGACCATCACCACCTAGCCAGTGAATTGGAGCACGTGCACCAAGCTCTCAAGATGAATGGATATTCGGATTGCACAATCCGTAAAGCTGTCACCCCAACCGTTGGGAGAGAGCCACCTGAGGACCCAATCAAAACCATCACCTTGCCATACACAGCAGGGGTCACCAAAGATATTTCCAAAATCATGAGCAAACACAAGATCCAGGTCCGATTCAGCACAGTACATAAAATTCGTGATCTGATCCTATCTGTTAAGGATGTGATTCCTGACATGCAATACCTCGGCGTCTACAAACTAAGCTGTGCCTGTGGCAGTAGTTACATTGGGGAAACTAAGCGACATGTCTCAGACCGTGTTCGTGAACATAAGGCAGATTTGAAACACAGTAGGACCAACACCTCTTGTTTTAACGCTGTGGGCACACATGAAATAGATTTCTCCAAGACGAAGGTACTCTGCAAACCCACTGGCTATCAACAAAGATTTGTTCATGAAGCCATCCAGATATATAAACACAGACACAATTTCAACCGAGAATATGGGTACAAACTGAGCAATCATTGGAAGGACGTTATTAACCAGGTAAAGTCATAACTGGCTGTGATGCTTCCTCCTACCTTCCTATGTTAGCAGTTATTTCCGACTCTCTCAGTTACATTACCTTGTTAAATGTCTTTACATTAACAGGCTAAATGTCTCACTAACATAGTTGCTGCTCCCTTTTCCTCGATGCGGCGGTGGCGCTCGTTGTTTAATCGGCTAAATGTCGCTCATTAGCATAGCCGCTGCTGCTGGAGCCGACTCACATTGACATGCTAATCTCTAATCTCGAGCAATACAATGGCTATTTCAGCACCGTCGTCGTGGGGTTACATTAACAGATTGAAATGCTAATCTCTAGCAATACAATGGCCGAGGTATACCTAGCTCTGCGATCTTACATTTACTTGGAAATTAAATCTCTAGCCCCGCCCACTTACCCTTGGGTTGTACCCATCTCAAACCTTTATAACATCTTGCTGCAGTAGTTCTCTCGCTACATTTCTTCCCGCCTCAGCAGTCGACGTGCTGTATTTTTTCACCTAAAGACGATTGCTTGTGTTGCGATCGAAACGTCGTGATTTTTTATTATTTTATTATTTTTCATTGTCTTGCTTGTATAAGTATTATTTATTTTAAAAATAGTTCATTCTTATATACATGTAATTATCTTTTTATAGCAATAAGTAAAAAAATATCTATGCCTGGGTGAAAAAAAAATCCTGGCCCAGCCTGGCTCAACAATTCAAAAAAATGTAACGTAGATATGTTTTCACAATGCGCATGATTTAAAACTGGACTAAAGCATAGTGCACAAATTGAGAATGTGAAAAATAAATGTTATGTTTCCCTGCAAATGTTATGTTTGAGCTATGGGACTTGATAATGCTGCTTGTGAGAGTCCATCTTTTATGAGAACATACCTCCAATAGCTATAAAATGTTATAACACATTCCTATTTTTGTGCAAATAATAATTACATGCTTTTGTCCATTCTAAAAGGCATATTCTTTTACAATTACAAACATATTTTTTAAAATTAGAAATCAATATATATGTGGTGAATGTAGTGGCCTCTAATGGCTACAGGAGTCACGCATTTAAAAATCCTGAATTTGTACAATTTGTTGGCCAAGCACCCAAAGCAAAACAACTCTTTAAAAGAGTCTGGGTAAATAATACATTTTTCAACTTGTAATGCGTACAATATTCACTCACTCGAAGAGAGAGAGGAAGAGAGAACGACTCACAAGTGTGAGGAACCACAGACAAGCAGCTAAGGCAGCCATGCGGTGCACCGGTGCCAAATTCCACTCTCCTACGAAGCTCTGCGGTCCTCTATATATTAAGGTGTTAACAGCCAATAAATGAGTGTTTACATGAGGGAAGAAACTGGAGCACTCGGAGAAAACCCATGAGTGTGAGTGGCAACACTCTATGCCAGTACAGATGGACCACCTGGAGTCCACATTTGCTGTACTGCATTATCCTGACAAGCTAGAATATGGTACATTGACGCCCACGGGAAGGAAGATCCACAAAATTTGTCACGATCCGCCAACACTGACCTCCACAGTGCTGGATTATTAGACTTGTGCCAACACCGTGACTCGGCACAGTCAATGTCAAACTTTAACCATATTTTATCACTGAATAGATGAGTAACAATACAGTCTGCTTTGGCCTGACTCACCGTGTACATGGAGAAAGGCTTTGACGCCCATTGCTTTTCATAGAAAACTGCTTTGACTTGACGATAGGGTTTTAGTAGTGGAGCAAATTATTCAGCAGGTGAGGCTGTTGGAGAGTCTCAGGCCCCTCCAGTGTCTCCTGACGCTATGAGGCTTATGAAATAAGGTTCCAAACCCATCATGTCAAAAGCTGTTGTTTTCAGTGGATCCAATAGGCACTCCTGAGATTGTCTGTCCTTCCATTTGTCCAAGGACACTTCAAATATCACAAATATTCCAGAATGTCTAGACCAATTTCAGTGACAGTTAAAGCTCAGCTTACCAATACCATTGCCAGTTCTTCTGTACAGTTTTTAGATAAGGCAACAAAACAGGGGAAATAAACTATTTTAAGTGGCGCACCAGTGTGATAAAGTGCATTTGCATTCCAATGTGTGACATGATGTGGGTATACACTAGGGCTGAACGATTAATCGATTTCAAATCGAAATCGCAATTGGAAACAATGCGCTTCGCAAATCGCAAAGGCTGCGATTTTTTGCGATTTGAAAAGTCCTGTTACTTATTGGAAGTGTTTTATTTTTATTATTATAAATTTATTTATTTAACTTAATAATTCTATGTTTGATTGTTCTATTTCAATAAGAAATCATAATAAATACATGTGGGAAGCAATTAATATCTTTTAAATTCTCATCCTTGCATTAGAATATATCAAGCAGTTCATATTTTGATGGTGTCATGTGGTAATGCTCCATCACATGTTTTAAATCCGTTACACAGTGAATATTGAACTGAAGCTTGACTTAAAAGAATGTAATTGCAAATCAAATCGCAATCGCAATATCTGTCAGAAAAATCGCAATTAGATATTTTCCCCAAATCGTTCAGCCCTAGTACACACACAAACAATGTGTGAGGGTCCATTCCGCATGACACATAATAATTATCTATTTTTATACAGCGCCTCATTGAAATATCTCAAAGCGCCGTACATGTGTAACCCCGTAAATAAATATTTCAAAATTCTAAATATCTTTACAAAATAATACAATGAATGTGAACGTATTGCACACGTGCAACCCTCTCCTCCATGCCCTCCCCCAAATCCCTCCATCGACCACTCCACTTTCGACGTCGGCAAACCGGTCACGATCGTACGACGAAACAACAGCAACCGCCATTCGCCACTAAGTGGCGGTGACGTCACACCGACACTTGTGCCCGGCCATGTGCACTTTGAGGCCACGTGAAGTGTCGAACGCCCGCTGGCAGGAGGTCACGGGGCAGACCCAGCAGGTGCCACGGGTCAACTGACTGAGATTACCGAGATGACGACGAAACACACACGCACACGACTAAAAAAGCGTTCACCTGTGCCCCCCCCATCCCCTGCCCGTGCCGTGCTGCATTGTGCTTTACAGATGGCGCAGCTCGGCATCGTGCGCGAGTCTGGCAGCGCTGTCCAAGTTGCGCACCGGGGCGCCGGCTTGGACTGCGCGGCGCTCACGTGCATGGTGCAGTTGGCGCAGATCCTGGTCGGAGCCGGCCTGGGCGCGATCGTCAACGCCGTTGGCAGCGTGGTGGTCGTAGCGATCTCGGGGTCGGCCGTCGCGCTCTTGGGCTGCGTCTTCATTGCTGTGTTCATCCGAAGCTGAGCCGTGATTTACGATGGTTCGTTTCGAATCTGTGTTCACACCAAACTCGACCACCTAACCGTTGAATGTATCCGGACAGCGAGCGGGGAAACTTTAGCCGCTTTTGCTCGGCACAAACAGCACGCGTGTCAAATATTACTGAAGCGCAACGTGCCGTGACAATTATAGCAAAGTTCAGAGGTTTTGCATATTTTACACGGTTTATTCCTTGTTTCTTCAAATGGAAATGTTACTATTTTCGATTTTTTTTAATACTCCAGGTGTTATTTCATCTTTTTAATATATACACACAAGGAATGTGTGTGAGTAAATGATTAATCCTGTAGTTTCCAAACTAGACGTGTAACATTTTAAGGGACTAGAGATACACATACTTTCAGTTGGTTGAAACAGTTTAATATTTCTAATAATATTGTAATGAAGTCCTTTGTTAATACACTGCTGGATGGAGGTACTGCCTCACCATTATCATGTGGGTTGTTTGTGCATACTTCACCAAACTGGGCAGCGTGAGTCAGTGAGGGGGTGGAGAAGAAGCCAAACTGGTTCAGATATCACTCCACTTTTGTGAAATGTAGATGGTGATCAAACTCAGGTGACGGGGTTCGTACAGTGATGCGTCAACCACTGCGCCACCACTCCACTCCAGTTGATTATATTTACACTACAATACAGATAGTGCATTGTCTTTGGGCTGTGCGCCTTTTGGAGTCCTCTGGTCTAACACCGTTTGAGACGAGGCTCAAAAGAAAGCTGTCTCTGGTGTGGACCAATCGGTTTCAAGGACAATGTATATATTATCAGAGTACGTTTTTTGTTTGCATTCTGACCACAAGCATTGTGGTTAATGCAGACATGATTCCTTGTAAAAGGTTTCAGTTTGGCGTTTTAACATCTTAACACCTGTTTTGTTGCCAGAAAAAAGGGAAACACCCTATTATCATATTTTGGTACTGACAAAGGAGGCCCCATGATGATACAATACATAATTATAGCTACATTGAAATATCACGAACTCAAAAGCGTACAAAAGGCAAAAAAATGGTTGACACATACTTAAAAAAACGAGTTGCAAACCCCACGTAAGCATTTGAAATACGCTCATTATTCATTTCAAGTGTACAGAAATCGTATTTGTACCCAATGATGTCGTGAGAGTTCCTCTTGTCTCACGTGATAAAAAATACGAATGCAAGGCATCCGTTTAAACCCGCGTTCCCAGCGAATGAGGCGAGGGGCAAATCATTGGGCGCGTATCACTGATGACTGCCCAATACAACACGTGGAACGTGCGGCCTCCCCTCAGCTACTCTCGATGGATATGTAGCCAATTGCTTTGTTCAAACGCCGTACAAGAGAAGGAAGACTCGATGGCGGGTGTCTAATGTCATGTAAACCTGCTTTTTGTCCTGGTCCTGCAAGTGTCACGTGATGATTACATTTATTTTGGATGAAGCAATCCCGATGTGATTTTTATTGGTATAAAAGTTAATTGTGTTCAACACTAACACACATGCGATGAGTGCAATGGATGAACTTCATACACTTCACTCTGTTTCCGCCAGGCAAACGTGGCTCGGTGTATTCATTAACATTCGTACGCGATTGCATTATACACTGAGCAAATACAAATAAAATGTTGCCCATTATTCCCTGATAATTGCACCATCCGTTCCAAAATGTGATACGAAATGCTTTGTATGAAATGCACGTCAAACAATCTTCTTTTCTTACCTATAAAATGCATTTTGTCTGTCCGTCTGTCTGTCTGTGGACGCACACTTTCGAAGGATTTGGCTCGCAAACCGTGGGGTTTACGGTTAAGAGAAGCAGCCAGGTACCATGCGTGTAAGCCCCGTGGCGAGCCAGCGCTATTGCGTTTTCCCATCTGTCAACTTTAAAGTAGTTAAATGAACAATTTAGTGCTATTATTGATTTGAAGCATTCGTGACTGCAGGAATCCATACTATTTGGTTCTTTCGGTAAAGTCACGTAGTTAGAAATAAATTAAAATAATAATGGTACAGATACAATGGGAGGCTAATCGATGCCCGGGTGCGGTCAAGGGATGGCTCCCTATGTTATGTATGCCGATGATCTGGTAATTGCTGCTTACTTAGAGGAGGTATGGCCTTACCATCAGCCCCACCAAAACTAAGCACCTGCCTGGGTATTTTATACCATCGGACACTCCACCACCACAACTCACAATTGGTGATAGGGCAGTTGTGGAGAGAGTGGAGAGTTTCCCGAATCAGTCGACCGGCATTATCTTTTCAACGGTTGCATAACGCTGTGTGGAAGCTACCTGGTCTATCGCTCCACACAAAGCTTCAGGTCTTCTCGGCCACAGTCATTCCCTCCCTTCTCTACGCTTGCGAAACATGGACCCCTCCTAATGGAACATCTTCGCCAGTTAGAAACATTTAGCCTGGCCTGCCTACCATCCTGGGTTTAGCCAGGCTGTGTGAGGATCTCAAAAATCCTTGAAAGTCGTGGACAAAGTCCCATCGGTGAGCTCCTCCGGCAGGCAAGGCTGCATAGGTTGCGTTGGCTGGGTCATGTAGCCCGCATACCCAGCCACCGCATGCCTAAACAGCTTTTGTTCGGCCAGATCGAGGGGGCTAAACGGGTGCGACACGGGCTAGAGAAGAGATGGAGTGGTGTGGTACAGGAGGATGTGGAGCTGAGTGGACTTGCCGATGACTGGTACCAGCGGTGTCAAGATCGGCCTCTGTGGAGGAGGCTCGTGAAGGATGCTACTGGGCAGTTGGAGGCAGTCGCCCTCCAACAACAACGGAAGGCGGAGGAGCGACATTCACAACAACGAGCCGAGCGCCGGGTGGCTAAAGCACAGCAAGTTGGCACAGGTGGTGCATCAGCCAGTCGTCTCAGTCAACCTGTGGCATCTGGGTTTGCCCCGTGGCCTCCTGCCAGAGGGTGTTTGACACGTCACGTGGCCTCAAGGTGCATATCGCCTGGCACAAGCGTCGTGGTGACGTCACCGCCACTTAATGGCGAATGGTGGTTGTTGATGTGTGTGTTAGTCCATATGTGTGTGTTAGTCCATATGTGTGTGTAAGTCCATATGTGTGTGTGTGAGTCGATGTGTGTGTGTAAGTCTATGTATGTGTGTGTGAGTCGATGTTTGTGCATGTAAGTCGATATGTGTGCATGGGTCCATGTATGTGTTTAAGTCCATTTGTGTGTGTCTTTGTCAATGTGTTTGTGTGTAAGTTCATATGTGTGTGTAGGTCCATGTGTGTATAACTCTATGTATGTGTGTGTGTGATTCGATGTGTGTGTAAGTGTCTCTGTATGTGTGTACATCAATGTGTGTGTAACTCCATGTGTGTGTATCTAAAGTCGATGTCTGTGTGTGTGAGTCCATATGTGTGTGTGTAAGTCCATGTGTTTGTGTGTGTGGGTCCATATCTGTAAGTGTGTGTAAGTCGATGTGTGTGTCTGTCTTTTTCGACCGGGCAACGCCGGGTACTTCCCGCTAGTCTTCTTACCTATAAAAGGCATTTTTTGTCTGTCTGTGTGTGGCCGAAACTTGCGAACGATTTGGCTCACAAACCTTGGTTTTCATTTAAAAAAAGAAGTTGGGTACCACGCCATAAGCTCCGTGCTGAGCCAGCGCTATTCCGATGTCACGTCCGTCACCTTTAAAGTAGTTTCATTAGCGATATAGTGCTGATTTTGGTTATTTCTTTATTAGCTCGCGCCTCGAAGCGCGTGCCAAAGCACGCGTCTGCAAATGCTCGCTCCTACCAAGTCACACATTCGATGGGGGGGAATACTCATTCGTGTGGACACCATACAAGCTAAGACACAGCTCCCTTGAAACATTTATTAACATACTCTTTGGTTCTTTCGGTAAAGTTACGTAGGTAGAGAAAATAATAGATCACGACGTTTCGATCGCAACAACAAGCGACCGTCTTCAGGTGAGGGAATCGGACTGCTGTGGACGAGGCATTATATTGACCCGGGAGGGTGGGGGGGGGGGTGCCGCATCGGGCAAGACGGTGGGGCCAGCGATTGTGAGAAATGGACTGTAGGGCATGTGAGCATGAGAGTGCAATCCAAATGACATGTGAGCATGAGAGTGCAATCCAAAGGACATGTGAGCATGAGAGTGCAATCCAAAGGACATGTGAGCATGAGAGTGCAATCCAAAGGACATGTGAGCATGGGAGTGCAATCCAAAGGACATGTGAGCATGTTAGTGCAATTGGATTGCACTCTCATGTGTGTGTGTTAGTCGATGTGTGAGTCGATGTATGTGTGTGTCAGTTGATGTGTGTGCGTGTCTCAGTCCATGTATGTATGTGTGAGATGATGTGTGTAAGTCGATGTGTGTGTGTGTCGATCTGTGTGTGTGGCTGAGACGATGTGTGTGTGTGAGTCAATATGTGTGTGAGTTCACATGTGTGTGTGTAGGTCCATCTGTGTGTACGTCGATGTGTGTGTAAGTCCATGTGTGTTAGTCCATGTGTGAGTGAGTCGATGTATGTGTGTGTGAGTCGATGTGTGTGTTTGTGAGTCCATGTATTTGTGTGTGTGTGAGTCGATGTAAGTCCATGTGTGTGTGCAAGTCGATGTGTGTGTAAGTCGATGTGTGTGTGTACGTCCATATGTGTGTGCGAGTCGCTGTATGTGTGTGTGCAAGTCGATGTGTCTGTGTGTAGATCGATGTATGTGTGTGTATCGATGTGTATGTGTGGCTGTCGCTGTGTTTATGTAAGTCCATATGTGTGTGCGAGTCCATGCGCGTGTGTGTAAGTCCATGTATGTGTGTGTAAGTGCATGTGTATGTAACTCCATGTGTATGTGTGTGTGTAAGTCGCTGTGTGTGTGTAAGTCCATGTGTGTGTGCATTAGTGAATGTGTGTATATAAGTCAATGTGTGTGTAAGTCGATATGTGTGTCTAAGTCGATGTGTGTGTGTCAGTCCATGTGTGTTAGTCCATGTGTGAGTGAGTCGATGTATGTGTGTGTGAGTCGATGTGTGTGTTTGTGAGTCCATGTATGTATGTGTGTGTGAGTCGATGTGTGTGTGTAAGTGGTGGGGAGCGGTGATGTAGCGGTTAGCGCGCTGCGCTATAAACCCCGCGACCCGAGTTCGATTCCCGCTCACGGCCGACACCGGTGACGATTATCTGAACCGGTCCTGGGCCTCCCCTAGGTCGACTCAGCCTCAAATGAGTACCTGGTGCGGTGTGTAAACATCACCACTAGGGAGACAAAGGTGGTCGGGCGTGGTGCTGGCCACCCACCCCTTTGTGTACCGTTGCGGCCTTCATAGGTGCTCGCTAACAGCACTTGCCCCTACAGTCTGTTAAGGCTATACGGGGGATCTTTGTCTTTGTGTGTCTAAGTCCATGTGTGTGTGAGTCGATGTGTGTGTGTCGATGTTTTTGTGTCTGTGTAAGTCGATGTGTGTGTGTGAGTCGATGTGTGTGTGAGTCGATGTGTATGTGTGTGTGTAAGTCCATGTGTGTGTGCGAGTCGCTGTGTGTGTGTGTGCAAGTCGATGTATCTGTGTGTGGGTCGATGTGTATGTGTGTGTGTTAGTAGAAGTGTGTGCGTAAGTCCATGTATGTGTGCGTCAATGTGTGTGTGTCAGAGTCAATGTGTTTGTGTGTGTAAGTCAATGTGTGCGTGTAAGTCGATGTGTATGTGTTTGTAAGTCTATATGTGTGTACAAGTCGATGTGTGTGTGTAAGTCCATGTGTGTGTGTGTCTGAGTCGATGGGTGTGAGTGAGTCCGTGTGTGTGAGTCAATGTGTATGTGTGAGTCGATGTGTGTATGTATGTAAGTCGATGTGTTTGTGGGTCCATGTCTGTGTGTGTAGTCGATGTGTGTGTGTGTGATTTTTTTCGCCTAGGCAACGCCGGATACTTCCCGTTAGTAGTTTTTTTTTTTATACGCGGCTGCTCCTGCATACGTGAACAAAATCATCTGAGGATACGTATTCTTTGATTTATAATGGAAATGTTCCATGCGTATAAATGGTAATTGTTCAAAGCATGTCTCTAGGCTTTGAACAATAGCGTTTACATTATGATTGTGGAATATTTGTGCAAAGTCCAAATGCCATTCATTTCTCCAAACCTATACAAACTAGTGGTGACCTGCAAAGTAAGAAAGTAAAAAGCCATTATTATCATCGTCATCATTTACTTCCGTAGTGATCTTTAGTGTAAACATTACTGCATTGTATCACAAACTAGACTCAAAGCAACCCTTTATAGATTAATGGGACAATTGTTGATTGCAGAGTCCTCCAGCAAATTCGCTTGTGTGTGTCTGCCCGTATCGCAAACATGAAACTGAATGTAATATTTAACATGTTATGATGAAAGCGATGGAGCCTTACTACTCAAGTCTATCACACATTGATTTTTCTGAGTCAACAGCTCAGAAATAAAGTGATCGATCCACACCCCTAATTTACAGTTCTGAAACTGGAACTACAGGATGATTGGTGTTTGTGTGTTTGAGATATAACTGCCAGTATTTCTCAATTGTGGATGTCTTATAAAATATGTATACATTTCAAAGAGTAGCATGAAAATATGTTTCCTGGAACATAAAGAATAATCATTTGACAACGTTGCAAACCACTGGCC